ATGTGTGGTTCCATGAAAGCAAAACACTTTCTATTTTGTGCATATCTTTAATATGGGTGATCTTCAGTTGAAGACAACTAGATTTTTTGGGCTTTCCTACTTTGGATTACTAGACAACCATAGGTGGTGTGGAAGCTGGACTTCTTCCCTTCATCCTACATGAAAACAGAAGCTCAAATGAACTTTTGCGCCCTTTTACGCTATTACTACCAACTGTGGGAAAGATACTGGCAATTTATTTTCAAGTGATGCTTACTTATTTTCTTTTCAATTGTTATATTTAAGGGGACTCACTCTGGGATGTTATGATTAACGTGGAAGGTGGGCTGGAAGTCATGTTGATAAATACATGGATAGTAAACATAGTATCATTTTTATCTGAAAAACATATCCGCTCTCCTTTTATATTAAAAGTGTACCCTTCTTCTGGGTTCAATGCATTTGAGGTACAGAGCTTCCTGTAGTGATGTAGTAGCCTTGCATGAAGTGAAATTTCCCAGACTAAGATAAGGTAAGGTAAGGTAAGGTAAGGTAAGGTAAGGTAAGGTAAGGTAAGGTAAGATAAGATAAGATAAGATAAGATAAGATAAGATAAGATAACCTTTATTGTCTTTTTTTACTGTGGGCACAACGGCACACATCAAAAATGAAATTTAGTTGCCCGCTCTCAAAGTGAAACACATACATGACACATACCTAAGCATACTATGAACAACGTATGTATAGACCCACACCCCTACATATACCTAGCAAATATTAAACACTGTCCATCTTGAATATATAATGGAAGGAGGAAGCTTGAGAGTTCACAAAATTAATGCTGTGTGGAATAAAACTATGGCTGAATCTGTATGTTCTGCTGTGGATACCACAAAGCCCCCTTCTCCCAGAAGGTAACAAGGAAAACAGGTTGTGAAGAGGATGTGTAGTGTCCCAGATGATCTTACAGACCCTGCTCAAGCAACGCTTCTGTGCTATGTCCTGGATGGGAGGGAGGGAGCTGCCAATGATCTTTTCGGCCATCCTCACCACTCTCTGCACCGCCTTCCTCTCTGAAGCAGGGATGCTTCCAAACCAGACTGTGACGCTGTATGACAGGATGCTGTCAACAGATGTTGTCAGTATCTTTCCATCCTGAAAATATTGAAATAGTTCTAAAGTTTAAAAAATAAAGTTGGGCTTTGCTGAGTATTACCTATTTACCTACCTACCTACCTACCTATTTCTATCTATCCATCATCTATTCTATCCTTTCCCCACCACCGCACTCACTCATCTACATATCCACCTGGAAGGATTTAGTGGGTTTTTGAAAGTAAAGATGCCTAGCCAGCAAGCCCCAGTATCAGCCTGGGAGATATATTCATTATGGGGTTGAGTATTAAAAGAAATTTGATGGAAATAAAATGTACAGTTGATTTCAGCCAGGTCGGATGCATTGCCCTCAACAGTCCTTTTTGGATGTTTTAAGGGTTCTCCTATATATCTTTGGTTACGTCCATGTGGCGATGGTTCAGTTGAAACTCTGAACTGAAGTGTTGTTATGCTGCTCCCTATATAAGAATTGTAGACAATTAATCTATGTCACGTTGAAGAAGTTACTGGATAGTGAGTGTAATTTCTACTTCTTGTTCCTTTTTTTTTTTCAGACAAGAACTCAAAAATATCTTCCCAAATCATCCGGTTTTGTGCTACTATTTGTACAATATTTTGCCCCATTAATTAAGTCTGGATATTTATTTACACACCACTACTTCTTTTTCTAACAAGTTTTTTTTCTCTTTTCTTTTTTGAACTAATATTTTTTTATTAGAAATGATAGTTATTTTGTAATGGAAGAAGAATAAGAAAAAAGAAGAAATGATATTAATAAATGTTTATTGTATATGTTAAGGAAAAAGGGAATGGAGAGACACCCGAAGTGTTAATTATGTATTTAGATTAGAAATATGGAATATAGCAACTGAAATAGTAAAGCTTAATACAGGATTTGGATTTATTTAGATGAAAAGTTATTGATGATTGTTTTGATTGACTTATCTGTATTGAAATACATTAACTTGAATATACTATGTTACTAGAGGGAATGGAGAGGGTTTTTTTTAATGATGTAATCTGAATTTTATAAGTATGACTTTGTTTTTGGACAATTGATTGCCCTGCCACCACGTTGATTCTTAAGCACTTGTTTGTAAAATGAAAAAACTAATAAAACTGGTTTTTTTTTTAAAAAAACCACACATCATTTCTTATAATACTATATTTATTCTGTTACATTTTACTGTATATGTCCTTAATCATGTTAGGTCTTTTTATAAACCTTTTTTCATATACATATGTGTGTTTATGTAACAGTTTTACTATTACTTTATTATATCTTGCCCCCATCGCCATAATAAACTGATTCAATTTGAAACAAAATGCAAAAGCAGAACAATCTTTATTCTTAAGGATCAGATAGGAGAATGTCCTATATAGCACAGAGAGAAAGAAAGAAAAAAAAAAAATAGGGAACACATAAATGATGATTAATGTTCAAAATTACTGCCTGCATCAACTCAAAATTCAACTTCTGGGATCCAGCACCAGAAAAACATAAGGGAAGGAAATAAATGACAGGAGAATTTTTAGAACGTTGGCAAAGATTCTCTACAATTTGATATTATGGCTGACCTTTTCCAGAGAGAATATGAAATGAGTCGAAAGGTTTTAGGGTAAATAATGCATCTGAAGAATTCCAGGAAATCAAAATAAACGCCGATTCAGTAATCTGTATCAGCTGCACTGTGCCTCTTTGGGCACTCATGCATACACATCTGAGGAAAAGGATGGGTGAGGAATTGTGTTATTAATGAGTAATTAAACAGAGATTTAAAAACAATTAACCCAATCATGGAGAGTTTTCTGGGGGAGAAGGGACTGGCTGCTGGATGAAGAGGAGATTGCTACGCACAAAAAGATCTGATGTTTACAGGTCATCTGAGGTTATCGTGATAATAAAACAGACAGAGCAGGACTTAATAGATTTATCCATTTCTGTTTGGCAGGTAATAATAGGGTGTGAGATTGGCTCATTATAGAAAGGTTGCTTTAGGTAGAAAGATCTGAAACACCTAGATACGATTAAGAGCAGGGATGGGGTAGGGTGGGAGGTGATGGAAGCCCCTTATTGCTGCTAAATTGTTAGATAATTTCAGTGGTGAGATTCAAATAGGAGAACATCCGGTTCTCTGTGTGGATGCCGCTTCCGGAAGTCCATTCTGGGCCTGGGCAACAAAAAAATAGCTACCGGTTCTGCCAAAGTGGTGCGAACTGGCTGAATCCCACCACTTTATGATTTCTTATGGTTTCTAATGAGGGATGGACAATTTTTATTTCCTTTTCTGAACTAGAGTATAGCAGTGTGCCCCACCAAAACAGAGTAAGTGGTGCTACATCAGCTGCCTTTTACTCTAACCCCCAAATAGAATAGAATAGAATTATATAATGGAGTGGAGTGGAGTGGAGTGGAGTGGAGTGGAGTGGAGTGGAGTGGAGTAGAGTAGAGTAGAGTAGAAATAGAACAGAACAGAACAGAACAGAACAGAATAGAATAGAATAGAATAGAATAGAATAGAATAATTTGAATGGCTTAAATATACAGAGTTATCTCTCTTCAGTATATATGAGTCTCATAAGGAAACTGTCCTGTTTTATTACTCCATAAATTTGATCATATTCAGTAGACATTTTTTCATGTTCAATTGCTGGACAAGACAATGTCGTCCAAAGATGGGTGTTTCTTTATGTATCTTTGTAGGACATGGGTCAGTGAGATTTATCACTGAGAAACATTACATTGGGCTCGCAATACTCAGTATAGTATGAAAGTGATGTCCTAAATATAATACTGATCATCATAAGCCAACAGCCAATATTATTGCAAATCATGAATTTGCAAGGGTAAATAAACTCCAATGCAGCATTTCTCAACCTTTGCAATGTTTAAGATGCGTCAACTTTAATTCCCAGAATTCCCCAGCCAGCGGGAGGGTGAAGTTCATTGTTGTATTACTCTGAAAGAAAATCAGTTACAGATGGAAGAAGAATCTCTCCTCTTTTCACATCTTTCAGGAGCTCCAGCAGTGGATGGATTTATAATGGATACATTTAGTTATTTCTTGTCTCCTCTTAGACACTCTCACCCACAATGAGTATGCCACATCAACTTTCCCTTTCATCTTTCCCACCATAATACTCATTATTGGTGATGGGAAGGAGTTACAATGAAGGGATGTATCCATCTTCTGGAATTTAGAGAACATTCACCAATTAAGTGGAAGGAGATGTAAATTATAACCTCAAATTCCATTCTCGCACTTGCAGATTTACAGATATTTTGAAAATTGGACCCGACCTTTGGTAAACACTATACAATGGCATATGCCGATCCATATTTTATTTTCTTGCTAAAACGTTTGCTATATGAAAAAGCAATACAAAATGGAAGCATTAAATCTAGATAGATTGCGCAATCAAGAAAGCTTTAATTTCCTCAAATGGCAACGTTTATTCGGGACCCATGTGGGAAAGGTTATTGCTGGTATAATGCTAATTAGGAGGGGAGTAAGTTTTCAGCATTTTTTTCTTCTTTTTGCTTCCGTCTCTGATTAACTTTAAAGTGTAATTAGAAATTGCTATTGTAAATTCCCAGTGTCCCCTTTCCAACAAGTCTAATGAAATGGCAATTAATATTCCTATGGGCTAGAAAGAAAGATGCTTGGGGGGGGGAAATTAAAGAGTTACAAGGAAGGGAGTTATTAATGTGGATGCAAAGCAGTTAAACTGTAATATGTAACTGAGAGACGAAGCAAGCAGAGAATTCCTGCTTCACTCCATTCTTAAGTACAGGTAGTCCTCATTTTGGGACCTCAGTTGGAACTAGAATTTCTGTTGCTAAGCAAAATGGTTGGTTATGTGAGTCATGTCAGATTTTATGATTCTTTTTTTTTTCCTCACAGGTGTTACGTGAATCACTCGGTCATTAAGCAAATCCGACTTTTCCCATCGATTTTGGTTGTCAAAAGTCTGCTAGGAAGATCGCAAATGGTGTCCCGTGACCTCAAGATGCTGCAAAGGTGTCATAAGTACATGGCAGTTATGTGAAGTGTCTGAAGTTGGGTCATGTGATTGTGGGGATGCTGGGATGGTTGTACATGCGAGGACCAGTTGTCACTTTTTTCAGGCTCGTAACTCTGAACTGTCATAGGTCGAGGACTACCTGTGTGTGTGTGTGTTTTCCTGGGTCAAGGAAAGGCTAAGTGTGTTGCGGTTAAAGAACAACCTTTGGCCCAATCAACGATTTGGACGAGGGGATAGATGGGGAACTCATCAAATTTGCAGATGACACCAAGCTGGCAGGAATAGCCAACGCTCCAGAAGACAGGCTTAGGATACAGGAGGATCTGGACAGACTTGAACACTGGGTGCTATCTAACAAAATGAAAGTCAATGGTGAAAAAGTAAGGTTCTACATTTAGGCAAGAAAAACCAACTGTACAAATATAGTATAGGGGGTACCTTGCTCAATAGTAGTAACTGTGAGAGGGACCTCGGAGTCCTGGTGGACAATCACTTCGATATGAGCCAGCCATGTGCTGCAGCTGCCAACAAAGCCAACACAGTGCTAGGCTGCATTAACAGAGGGATAGAATCAAGATCACGTGAAGTATTAATACTACTTTACAATACCTTGGTAAGGCCACATTTGGAATACTGCATCCAGTTTTGGTCACCATGATGTAAAAAACATGTTGAGACTCTAGAAAGAGTACAGAGAAGAGCAACAAAGATGATGAGGGGACTGGGGGCTAAAACATACAAGGAACGGTTGCTGGAATTGGGTATGTCTAGTTTAATGAAGAGAAGAACGAGGGGGGACATGATAGCAGTACTTCAGTATCTCAGGGTCTGCCCCAAAGAAGAGGGAGTCAAGCTATTCTCCAAAGCCCCTGAAGGCAGGACGAGAAGCAATGGATGGAAACTCATCAAGGAGAGAAGCAACCTAGAAATAAGGAGAAACTTCCTGACAGTGAGAACAATTAACCAGTGGAACAACCTGTGTCCAGAAGCGGTGAATGCTCCAACACTGGAAGTTTTTAAGAAGAGACTGGACAGCCATTTGTCTGAAATGGTATAGGGTTTCCTGCCTGAGCAAGGGGTTGGACTAGATGACCTCCAAGGTCCCTTCCAACTTTATTATTATTATTATTTGGATCATCGCACAGTCAGCCAGATGTTCAGACTGGATTTGGCATTTTGTCTACCTATCGAGTCCTTACCCAGGACCTGGGATAGGCAGATGTGGATGTTTGATGGTATTACAGATATCGTCGCAGGATGGAAGCAGTTACTAGTAAGGCCGCCTTTTGCAATTGACTAATAGCGAATTTGTCAAAGCCAATGGTGTTCAAGTGGTGCTCCAGTGGTTTTGGGATTGCACCCAAGGCACCTATGACTATTGGTACTATCCTTGCTTGCTTTTGCCACAGTCTTTCTATTTCTATTTGTAGGTCTTTGTATTTTGTTATCTTCTCCAGTTCTTTCTCGTCTATTCTGTTGTCTCCGGGCACTGCCACGTCCACTATCCAGACTTTTTTGTCTTTCTTATCGACAATTGTTAAGTCTGGTGTGTTGTTGTTGTTGTTGTTGTTGTTGTTATTATTACTATTATTATTATCTAATTCAAAATGGGTTTAGATTTAGCCTAAACTGGAAGCTTGGTCTTGAGAAATTTAATTTTCACCCTCCAGAAGCGATAACAAGTAGACAGAAACATGGATAACTTCTGGCCAATTTATTGTGCCTCTGTCTGATTATCCACAGGTTTTCTTTATATATATTTCTCCCTTCTATCCCTTTCTAGTTCCTTTTCACAGTCTGAAAGGATGGCCTTCAAGGCAACTTGCATTTTTAAGGTCTCAAGCTTCCTCTAAAGATTTTCAAAATCTGTTGAAACGTGGTGATAGCTGGTTTTTTAAAGAAATGTTTAGCTGGAGGGAATAATCAGTAGACTTGATGAATCTTAGAAGTTGTTGGGTTGGTTCGCTGACTCTTTCATTATACTTTATGTGCTGACAAATCTGGTCAACATATTTTTTCCAAAAGACAATGGGACTTTCTTGTTTTTTTTTTCCCTTGAAAACATTTCCCTTCTCATCCTGTAGTGCAAAAACCATGATACTTACATCAGAAGACAAGACCATGAAGGTTTGGAGAAAACAGGTTTTATTTGTGCAAAGGTTCAGAGTATTCATACGACAAATTCTGAACCCCAGGTTATTTCCAGGGTGTCATTCTTATACAGCTTGCCGCCCACGCTTAACCTAATGGATGACTTCTTATCTACCTTTAACACACTAAAAGAGAGAAGTTTATGTCCTGAGACCACACACATAGGAAAAAGGGAAGTTTATACAATGTGCAGAAAACCACACTCCCCTACACCATTTTTGACTTTTGGTTGGCACCTCTTGTAAAAATGTTTCTTCATAGAATTGCACATAGGTTATCACATTCAGCCAGTTTATAATATTACCATATATGCCGGCATATAAGGCGACTTCCGCAAGCGCTAAAATCAGCACCAAAGACGGGAGACATCTTATACCCTGAGTCGTCTTATACGCCAGAAATACTGGTAGTTTCCAGCGTATAAGGCGACATTTTAGGCATGCGGCTCGGCGACAAAGACAGGGGTCGTCTTATACGCCGGTTCGCCTTGTATGCCGGCATATAGGGTAGTTAATGCTTGCTAAACATCACTCCTTTTAATTAAAATATAATTCAAAAGTACTTTATCATTTCTCTTAATGGCAATTTTTCATCTACCTCAATCCCAGAATCTTTTTTCAGAACTTGGATGAGAAGTGAAATGTTTTCAAGGGGGAAAAAAAAAACCCAAGAAAGTCTCATTGCCTTTTGGAAAAGCAACTTTGGGACTTCCTTGGTGGTGATATGGTGATGATGGTGTGGTTTTGGACCTCCTTCAGTTCCTCAGTCATAATTAAAAGTAATATAAATTCCCCGTTGGCTAAATCAGGGTGATTCCTTATTTCAAAAGAAACACGCATGCATACATATTGGAAATCCATTCACTCGGTGGCACACTTCCTTCTGAAAAGCAACACTGGGGAGGAGACCGTTAGCTTATCTCCACTGTTACTCCACCCTCACCAGAAAGTCAAACCAACATCTTATCCATCAGCAAGATGGAAGGACTCACAATATGATAAGCACAGCATTGGAAGAGCTGAAAGGCCAAATTAGGGACCCATTGTTGAGGTGAAAATATCTAAGAGCCAGCACTGGTTTCATGGCACATACTCCATCCATTATTTTTTTTTAAAGTTAAGCCAGTCTTACATATAGCTGATCCAACCAAAAGAAATGAATCATTCAGGTATTTGCATCCTTATTAGACCATTAGCAGGAAAAGGTAAGGGTTTTTGTTTTTTTGCAAAATTATAAGGTGAAAAACGGGTGACTGCTTCCCTTAAACGACGTGGCACTGTGAAGTTGTTTTATTATGCAGATATGATCTTATTTTAATATATTCAATTGTGGTCATCACCTGTCTAAGATCATACCTGAATAGTTGAGAGCATTCTGCGTGCTAACTACAAATAAAGAGTGGTAAATAGCCACCTTGCGTATGACAGATGTAATAGTTAGAAGCATAAACAAACAGTTAGCATTTTTCTGACCTTTTTTTTCCTTTATTTTTCACAATATGCTGTCTTCTTCCTTTGCCAGTAGATGACAGGAAGCAAACAGAGCAAGCCACAGAGAAGCAATAATGATCAACAGGCACTTCAGGACATGCTGTTTTGAGTTTTCCTTTATAATGAATGTGCATCAAATACTGTCCAGGAAAGAGACAGTTTTAGAAATAAAAATAAATAAGTTGCATAGTCCACCCAACTCAGTTGATGCCTCTATGCACAGAATGAGATTTTCTCAATCACTTTCCCGAAGACCTTATTGCCAATGGCCCCAAAATAGGGGTAGGAAACAAAGTACTATTATTTCCACAGTTAACACCCCAAAATATGAGAAGAAGTTAAGATCATAGGGCCAAAATCCAAATCTTTCTGAATGAAAATCAATAGCACACAGTTTAGAATGCTAAAAAGTGTTTTTAAGTGGGGGGGGGTGGTGGAATAGAAGCATCTCCTTCTCAGAAGTGTTTTGCTGTCAGTCGCATTCTTGTAGACACCACAAACATCTTCCTCTCACATCTTCAGGTCCTACCATTGCCTCCAACCTCCATCTATCTTGCATCTAAGCTGAAGGCACTTCTTTTTCTTTCTTTCTTTCTTTCTTTCTTTCTTTCTTTCTTTCTTTCTTTCTTTCTTTCTTTCTTTCTTTCTTTCTCTTTCTGTCTGTCTTTCTTTTTTTCTTATTTTTTTCTTTCTTTCTTTACCTTTTTATAACATTTTATTAGATTATAAAGTAAAATACAGAATTGAGGCCTTTGAACTATGGTGCTGGAGAAGACTCCTGTAAGTCCCCTGAACTGCAAGGCGATCAAACCAGTCAGTCCTAGAGGAGATCAACCCCGACTGCTCTTTAGAAGGTCAGATCCTGAAACTGAAACTCAAGTCCTTTGACCACCTAATGAGAAGGAAGGACTCACTGGAGAAGAGCCTAATGCTGGGAAAGATGGAGGGCAACAGAAGAAGGGGATGACAGAGAATGAGGTGGCTGGATGGAGTCACTGAAGCAGCAGGTGTGAGCTTAAATGGACTCCAGAAGATGAGGAAGGCCTGGAGCACAGGTGGGCAACCTGCGGCTCCAGAGCCGCATGCGGCTCTTTGAGCCTTCCCCTGTGGCTCCCAGCCTCCTCTGCCATTTGCAGAGAGAAAGAGAGACAGAGAGAGGCACTTGCACTTCCCTGCTTCTCTCCCTGTTTCTGTCTCTCTCTGTGTTTGTTTGTGAGTGTGTTTGTGTTTGTGTGTGTATGTAAAAGAGAGTGGACTCACGGTGTTCTCCGACAAGCTGAAAAGCTTTTGGGGTGGGGCTCCTCCCTTTGCTGTGTCTCTGCAGGAAGCAGGAAGGGCAGGAGAGAGCTAGCTAGCCCAGCTATGCTGACTCAGGAATTCTGGGAGTTGAAGTCCATGAGTCATAAAAGAGCCAAGGTTGCCTACCCCTGAGTTTGTTGGAGAACAGCTTGAAGCCAGCTTGCCAGGTGAGCAGAGAGGGGGGGAGAAATAGAGAGAGAGAAAGAGAGAGAGAAAGAGAGAGAGGGGGAGAGGGAAGGGGAGAGAGGGGAAAGAAAGAGAGAAAGAAAGAAAGAGAGTGGGGTAAGAGCACTGGCAGACCAAGGGCATAAAGAGAGAGGAGGAGAGAGAGGCAGAGAGAGAGAGAGAGAGAGAGAGACCCTTTTGACATCTAAAATGAAGATAACACTGCATATATCCTTTTTTACCTTTATGTGATATATATATTCGGCTCCCAGTGTTTTGTTTTCAGTAGGAAATGGGTCCAAGTGGCTCTTTGAGTGTTTTGGGTTGCCCACCCCTGGCCTGGAGGAACGTTGTCCACAGGGTCACAATGGGATGGACACGACTTCGCAACTAACAACAACAACAAAAGTAAAATACAAAAATGCAAAAACAAATAGTCGGGCCCAGTGGGGAGGGAAAAGGGAAAGAGAAGGGGGGAGGGAAAAAAGCATTGACTTCTGACTTCCTCTGTGGCAGTAGAATAATGCATTAACATAGAAACTCCACCTTTACTTTTCCAAAATAGTATAAACTAGCCATTTCTATAATGACAAATCAATCTAACAGGAAAACCCAAGACCAAAGTTTCATTTTTTTCCACCTCAGGCACAAAATCCAGAAACAGTCCCCATGTGGAAACAAAAATATTTGTGTTCTTTTCTTTAATCAAAATAGTCAATTTAGCCATCTCTGCCAACTCCATTAGCTTCTGCAGCCCTTCTTCTTAGTGGGAATCAAAATCTCCTTCCATTTTTGTGCATACAATATTCTTGCTTCCGTTGACATATATAAGATCAAAGTTCCAATTTTTTTCCTGTCTTTTTCTATTATAGACAGAAGAAAAATTTCTGGTTTCATCTTTATCTTTAAGAATTTTCTGTATTAAGATATGAACCCTACTCCAATATTTCTTTGCTTTATCACATGTTCACCATGTTGAAGGTATTTCTTGTTTTTTTTTCTCACCCACCGCCATCTTTGTCACCTTGGAGCAGCTGAGGTGGATGCCCAAAGAATTGTCATTCACATTGAAAATTATACATGTCCCGAACCAAAATGTCTATCACTTGTTTTAAGCTCTCTGAAGCTTGTTCCATATGGACACAAAACCCATTTTGTCTGGTGCTGCTAATTTGTATAATGGCTATTCAAAACTGAAGGGGTAGTTCATCAAGTAGTGTTTAAACCATTTAAATATGATTGCAGGTATACACGGAAGAACTGCAAATAGACTGCCATCATATTAATTACCTTCACCTTTAAATAAATAGAGATTTTTGATAAATTAATTCTTCCAACTCTTTGTGACCTATTTCACTAGGTCTATATGAACAACAAACTGTTTGCCTATATATGGGAATATTCTCAACACCTTTTTAGATAAGGGGCAACAGCACTCAAGAGGTATGGGGCTTAGTTCGCTTGTGGCTACTAAAGGATTCTAGACTGATCCCTCTTTTAACTCCTCCCCCTGTTCTGCCAGTTCTTCTCCTACATCTGCTTATATCATCAATTATATTTTCTGGCTACTAAATCTTCTGTCACACTTTTCTGAAGCGTCGGGGTCTTCACCTTTTCATAATTTGTATGGGTACACATAGCAACCCTTTTGTGCATATTCTGTGTCTCCTTGTCCCAATTGCCAGTGAAATAATAATGATTATAGAATCTATTTTCATTAACAAACTGTTGTGAATGTGCTATCATACTTGTTTTTTTTTAAAAAAATATTGATAGGTGTGCATTAAACTTTGTTTCAGAGTTGATTTTCCGAGAATAGTATATTTAATGGAACATTTTTTTAAATTTTGGCCTCCTTGCTAAATTTAAAAAAAAAATGTTTTAATCTCTGAAAAGAAACATGTAGAAGTAAAATCTTTATTGACCTGTCCCTTTGCTAGGAGAAGCTCATTTCTCCCAACTTCTAGGAAAAGTTAAAGAAGTCCTTACTCAGCAATTGCAGGATTATTCTACTCCTCTTTCACCTCCGGTGAAATACACGCATGAAGAGCCATTCAAGGTCTATCTAGTTTGAGTAGGGCTGTGAGATCTTGAAGGGAGTGTTTCTCACCAAAATGAATGGAGCACTTTTTTAAATGACCTCTTGACTTCCAGCGATTGTAAGTATTGACTGAGGCAGTAGAAACAACTTTAAAACAAATCTTCTCAGTTTTTTACCTCCACCAAAAGAACCCCATCACCATTGCAGTGCAGAGCTCATTATCAAGCCCCATCTATCTCTCCCAGGCTTAACTTGTAGATAAAATCCAGTGACAATTCAAATAATGGGGAACAGTTCTTAGGAACATCATGTCAATTTCTTGCACAGCTCTCTAAACTGACTGCAAGTCTTTTCCATGCATGATCCTCATAGTCTTCTTTAGCAAGATTTATTGAGACACACAGGACAGGGGTATAAGAACTATTATAAATGAACTATTTCCAGTTTAAACCAATAGATTCCTGTTGTTGTTAGTTGCAAAGTCGTATCCAATCCATTGTGACTCCATAGACAACGTTCTTCCAGGCCTGCCTGTCCTCTACCATCTTCTGGAGTCCATTTAAGCTCACGCCTACTGCTTCAGTGACTTCATCCAGCCACCTCATTCTCTGTCATCCCCTTCTTCTCTTGCCCTCAATCTTTCCCAGCATTAGGCTCTTCTCCAGTGAGTCCTTCCTTCTCATTAGGTGGCCAAAGTACTTGAGTTTCAACTTCAGGATCTGGCCTTCCTAAGAGTAGTCAGGGTTGATCTCCTCTAGGGCTAACTGGTTTGATCGCCTTGCAGTCCAGGGGACTCGCAGGAGTCTTCTCCAGCACCATAGTTCAAAGGCCTCAATTCTTTGGTGCTCAGCCTTTCTTATGGTCCAACTTTCACAGCCGTACATTGCAACTGGGAAAACTCTGGCCTTCACTATACATAATTTTGTTGTCAGGGTGTATGCATTAGCAAAGGGGATTTCTCATTCTAACAGTCTTTCAGTGAGCATCAAGACTCTTGAGCGCTTTGGGTAGAGAAAAAGAATGACAGGCAAAGCTTCTGCCTTTCCTATTTGCATTTTCCCCCATCATCCCACAACCAAGGTTCTTTCAGCTGTCCTGGAAAGACACTTTTACAATACCTTCGTGTTATAAATTTTCCCACTGCTGAATTAATTAATTGTCAAATCAAATGGCATAAATCCTCTGCATCTTCAGCATAATCCTGTAAGAATGACTGAGTCAGAGAGTTGTCATTGTTAGCGCTTAATTTCATTTTATGTTACCATTTCTTTTCTTTCTTCCTTTTTTATACTTTGGTGCACTGGGAGAAAAGTGATTTAAGTACATCGGAGAAAAGTAATGGGGTGTAAATGGAAGCAAGCATTTAAAAATAAAGAAATGAAGAGGAAGGGAAGAATTGATGGTTAGGACTGTATCCTAAGTAATCATTTCAAAAGTAACAGCAAGATTTTGATGGACAGCTTAAGACGACCCTGAAGAATTACCCTATTCAGGGGAACCCACCTACTCAAATTGATTCTTCTATTTATTGCAGTCCATTCTCAATAGGCAAATTGTTCATGATGGACAAAAAAAAAAACAAGGCTAAGACAACACCAGTGACATCCAGATTCCTGAAGACAACACTAAATCCACAAAACTCAGATGCTTGGCTGACTCTCTCCATGTGCAGAAGCAATGAATTAAATTCATTCCAAGTGAAATTTATTGGAACATCACAAGCAATGTGGAAGTGGTTGTTGTCTTATGCAATACCATCCATGTACAAAATGTGACCAGAAGATTCTTCTAGACCAGGGGTAGGCAACCTTGGCTCTTTTATGACTCATGGACTTCAACTCCCAGAATTCCTGCTGGCTCAGGAATTCTGGGAGTTGAAGTCCACGAGTCATAAAAGAGCCAAGGTTGCCTACCCCTGGTCTAGACTAAAGGGAAATGGAGGATGAGGCAAAGAAATTAGAAGTTAATAAGCTTTCATGGATAAGGTATATTCACCTTCCAGTTATTGTAAGGCTATGGATATGCAGAGAAGTTGAAAATCTCAGTAGGCCCTCTATTCATTCTATGAAATTATCTTTTTTTTTTAATTATTGGGGCAATAACATGCCTGTTGATTTACAAATTCCTGTAATACATACATAATTATTTTCATTCTCTTTAATACATACTTTTGTAAGCACATATATATTTTCCTCTTGAATTTTCTCAGCTAAATACGTGTTTGGACAGGAGAGGGACAAAATATTGTGTACATATCCCAAAGCTTTCTATGGAATTTTACAGGGAGTAATGATCATCAGCAACTGAAATGAATTGCAATGGAAACTGGACAAACACATAGAAGAAAAAGTGTATCAAGATTTCTAGTTGTAACGGTAAGGCATTCATTTCAAGATGCAAGACCTATGGCCGTGGTGGCGAACCTATGGCATGCGTGCCACAGGCGGCACGCGGAGCCATCCCTAGTGGCACGCGAGCCATTGCTGGGCTGAGCTGCTTCCCTCCTCCGCTTCGTGCATGCGCAGTGCTTCACGCTCTCTGTGCATGCGCAGCTCTCCGGGGAGGTGGCTGTTTGGTTTTTATTCCCCTCCCATCTGGTGGGTTGTTGCAGCAGGGTTTGGTCTCTTCTGTCATGCTTTGAGATTACCCACGAAGCACGTTTGTTTGGGGGGATCCCTAGTCTAGTTGCTAAGCTTGCTTAAACCCTCTTCCACCTCCTCCTCATCAGAGCCCCCCTTTGTCTGCAACCAACCCCAGCCCCTGCCTCGCCTTGCCTTGCCCCATGGCAATGGCACCCCTGCCCCCTCCCTTGCCTCACCTCATCTTGCAGGAGGAGCCTCCTACCCACTGCCCCACCCGCCAGAGAACCCCTGGATGTCCCCCAATCCTGCGTGACTGACCCCCACAGGCATCCCTCTCCAGAAGCAACATCAAGGTGGCCACGCCCACACAGGCCACGCCCACCCATGGTACCATGACCACCATAAGCACACCCACTTGATGGCCATGCCCACTTGGTGGCCACGCCCCTGGCACTCAGCGATGCATAAGTAGATTTCAGGCTGCAGTTTAGGCACTCGGTCTCAAAAAGGTTTGCTACCACTGACCTATGGTAATCAGAGCTATTTTCTGAAGAACATGATAAGGATAATAGTGTTGTTCCTCTGCTCAGTTATGTTTAAAATGTGATTTACCACTGATGGCCTCCATAAATGTTTGCCCTGATTTAGCAAAGCTGTCCTCATCTCTCAATACTAATAGCACCTTGTAAAAAGTGATCTTTGTCAAATGAACACACAAAAAGAATTAAGATCTGTCTCTAACCCACTGCATTCCTGATCATTGCCAGCCTCCTTATCAGCTATTTTTTTATGTACACATTAATTACAATGTCCCATTAAATGTCATTTCAGATCTGGGCTCAGAAACAATTGGAAGCTGGAAACGTGGAGATGATGGACAAAGCAGAACAAAGTTCTGTGTTAGCTAATGAGAACTGAAAGTAAGTGTGATATTAAATTTAATATTAATTTGCTCATTTAGTAGCTGCTTAACTCCTGTAAGGAAAATTTGGCAGTCGACTCTGATGTGTGATTAGTGTATGCCAACCACAGCATCATCCTTGATTAACACCCTGATCTTGCAATCTTTGGTACAAACAGATTGATCGTCAAAAGCAATTAGAGTGTGTCAAGAACAGTATGCTCACTTTTGACAGTGGCACAGATAGATTGGCAGTTTTGTGATTATAAGCCGATCACAAGCAAGAAAGAACTTGGATAAAAGCAAATAATTTAATGTCTAATAATCAACAGCTACAGTCTTTTTTGCATCTCATTTTCTGAAATACAGCCCAAGATGTGCACAACATGGTACATCTGCCACTTCAAGGAGTTAGAAGCATTATTACATTTCCTTAAAAATATCTATCCAGTATATCACTTCTATTATCAACGACTACTGTCTTTAGGGGCTAGGTGTGATGACAGTGGTTAATTGCAAAAAAGTGGAAAAAAATAGGTTGCCTTGCCACCATTATAAACTTAAATAACCATACCCCCTTTTTATTTCTTCCTCTTTCCTTTTTTGTTATTCTCTTTCTCTCTTTCTCCATTCTTCTTTTTCTATCTGATAATAGCAAGCCTCCATGCACACTTCCACAGTCAGCAAGAACTGCCTTGATAGCCCCATACTTATATTGGTTTATCTATCCTATTGAGGCATGTTGCATGACCTAGGTCAGGGTAGGGGTCCCTTACAGAGATTAATCTAAGTCAGGGGTGTCAAACTCAATTTCATTGAGGGTCTCATCAGCATAGCGGTTGCCCTCAGGGGGCCGGGTGGGTGTGGCCATGGTGGGTGCGACCTACTGAGTGGGAATGGATGGAGGCTTGTGGCCTACTGGGTGGGCGTGGCCAGCTCTACATCGTTCGTGTCAAGGGTGGGATAGATCTGAGGGTCTCTGGCAGAAGGGGGTGGGACCAGGGCAAGTGCCAAGGCATGGTCCACTGGAGGAGCCTCACTGTTCCTCTCAGGCCATGTGGGGGGGGGGGTGCTTATGGAGCTAAGACTGAATGCATTTCAGCATAGATGGCCACCACAAAATTGTACATTGGCTCATGGCCGACCTGGGCCAGGGCCAAGGCAGCGGGGGTCGTTCCCTCACTGTTTCCAGGATGGCTTCACGGGCCACATGAAACCACTTCGCAGGCCGCATCTGGCCCCCGGGCCGTGTGTTTGACATGTCTGATCTAAGTGAAGGAAGTCTTTGTAGCTCGTTTGCTTTGGAAACAAACCATGAAAATGAAAGTCCTTGTGTCTTCCTGGCCTGGCTGATTAAGATTTGTACTTGTGGCTTAAAAAGATCATTCTGCAATTAATCAACTAAAACCTAGGCTGGTTAATCAGCATATTAGATAATTAAAGCTAGAAGTTCTACAATGTAGTAAATGCAGAAGCTCCTAAGCAGTGATGTGATTATTTGTTTTCCAAAGTGGGAACAATCAGGTGTAATGCATTCCCATTTATAAGTCCACCTATTGTAAATTATGGGCAATACATGCTTAACAGCATTGTAATAATAACCAAACTGGAGCTGGTTTGTTTGTTCTGAGTAGAAAGGCGTTACCTCAATTTAATGATGAGCCATGCTATTACTCTATATACAAATTCATGCAGAGTGTGTCTCTTGTTCTGGAATTTAGATTCCTTTACTTTGAAGGATGTTGACATGAGTTGTGAAAGAGTCTAGAGCAATGGTTCTCAACCTGTGGGTCGGGACCCCATTTGGGGTCGAACGACCATTTCACGGGGGTCGCCAAACAACGCAGTCTGCCATTTTTTCCCCCTTTTCCTTAGCTGTGCTACTCCCTTTTATTCTATTGGCTTTTGAAAGCCAATAGAATAGACTCTCTTGAATAGAGTCTAATTCTATTTGCTTTCAAAAGCCAATAGGAATTGTCCAGGCTGTCTCTGCCCTGCTGAGCCCGCCAAAAGTCCCATTCTGCAAATGGGGCTGCACCAGTTGAGTAGTCCTCGACTTACGACCGGTTGAGTAGTCCTCGACTTACGACCGGTTGGGGGTCACTGCATTAAAAAGGTTGAGAACCACTGGTCTAGAACTCTATCAGGAGCTCAGTGAAGGAGCTTGCTAAAAGTTTTACGATCTGGAACTAAATGATTGCAAAGGAAAATCTGACAGCCGAGCAGGAAAGATGCTGTCTTGCTTTCAGGCCAGCAAGACTTAAGGTTAAAGCACTGAATTTCAGCTGCTGGCATGGGATGCACAAGAATAAAATGGATAAATGAATAAAATGGAAATAAGGCAGAATGGGAGAGGAATGGGAATGGAGAGTAACAATATTTTCTAAGGGTAACGAAACACGTGCTTGTGATATTAAGGATGCTTTGAGTGACTTTCAAATAAACAGATAACAAAGGCCAATATAGTTCAGTAGAATGGAAGCTGCCATTGGTGAGAACATTTCAGAGATGCTACTTCAAAGGCGAATGTCCCCATATTCACGGCAGCAAGAATTGTATTTGCCCAACATTGGAAAAATGAAAACCTACCAACTGACGAAGTACTAGTTAAGACAATTCTAGAGTGTGCAGAAATGGATAGATTGACTTTAGAGATTAAAGAGAAAGAAGACTCAGTGTACTTTAGAACATGGGATAATTTCTATCAATGGCTAGAAAAACGAGTCAGAGAGAAAGGAAGGTGATATGTAATTCTGAATATATATGAGCAAGAAGAAGGCTATTGAGTGATGAATTAACACATTGTTTAAGATAACTAACTATATCTATTATTGTTAGTTAAATACATGTACCCAGACATTATGCTGTTTGCTAAATATTGAAAATGTTATTTGGAAAAACCTCAACCCCAACCTCACCCTAACCCTAACCCAAATTTACAAGCAATTAATTTTATTTTGTAGTTATGGATTGAATAAATAACTACTTGGGTGATCTCATAGCACCAAGCCGACTCAAATTGCCTTGGATGAGAGAGAAACAGAAAATCCTAAACTGGGAAGAAAAATAAATAAAAAAAAACCTTAAGATATGGCAAATCATTTCCATAATGGGGTCAAGAGAATTACACCAACATGTCTGTGAAATCACCAAGAATCAAACCCAACTCAATCTTTTATCTATTATCTCAGTTAATATAAATCTGGTTCTGGATCAATTGAGTATAAACTTTAGTCCCAGAGCAACAACAGATATTTAAAGCATTTAAGAAACTGATGTAAAATACATATTTATCTAACAGAGGAATACTGTTTCATTTGTGACAGTAGATAGGCATTCTTACAATTCTTAGCCGTTTGGTTGTCCATCCAACCAAAAGCAGCCTAAGAATTGAAGAAGATTACATGAATAATCCATTTCAGATTTCATCAGGTAACAAGTCTGAATCCAACTCTCTGTATCTTCCTATATCTTCCACAAAATAAAAGGGTTTGATTGCAGGCCAACCAAAAATGCGTGGAATAAAATCTGATTAAGGTAATTTATATTGATCTGATTTATTTGCCGTCCATCTCCTATCCAACAACTCTGGGCGTCTTATATATAGAAATTATACATTTCTCTCTTCTAGAGATTAGTAGGGTTTTGTAAACAAGAGCTTCCTTCTTCTGTGGTAGCTTCCAAAGTTTTGGTGTTTCATATCAATTCACTCCATTTTGACCCCCCCCCAAAAAAAACCCATTGTCAGTATCTAATCAAACCCACATCTTGGATTCTTTGCTAGATGGGATTAACTCTGAATAACAGTGATTTGCCTGAATAGTTTTTTTTTATCATTTACATATGCAAAGGTAACATCTGACTCCTTCCCTTGTGTGCTTATGAATATGTTATAAGTTGAGAGAAAATGTGATTATGTAAATGGTGGTCGTTTATTTGCTATATAGATTAATGTGATGTTTCGCTGTGATCCCAACAGCAAGAGGCATACAGTTGGGCTCTACAGCTGGCAGCTCTGCGTGAAGCTGCCCTTCAGCTAAAATCTGAAAAGAAGAAAATAAATTAATCATCTCATTTATTCTGATGGATTTCTGTTTTCCCCCATAAGTGCAATTGAACAGGTTATTTTTAGATTTTAGGGATTATAGAAGATTCAAAAGTGGCCATTGAACATTTGTCAAAGAATTGATGATTCTTGAATCTATCTATCTATCTATCTGTCTGTCTGTCTGTCTCTCTGTCTCTCTGTCTCTCTGTCTGTCTATCTATCCATCCATCCATCCATCCATCCATTCATCCATCCATCCATCTTTCTGTATCTATATCTATATCTATATCTATCTAGCTATCTAGCTATCTAGCTATCTAGCTATCTATCTCTAATCTATATCTGTCTATCTCTCTCTGTGTATCTATCTGTCTGTCTGTCTGTCTGTCAGTCTCTCTCTCTCTCTCTCTCTCTCTCTCTCTCCATCTATCATCTATTTTTTACCATCTATCTATCTATCTATCTATCTATTTTTAGATTTTAGGGACTATAGAAGATTCAATTGATGATTCTTGAATCTATCTATCTGTCTATCTGTCTATCTATCTATCTATCTATCTATCTTCTATCTATCTATATCATTTATCTTTTTTTTGATCTACTATCTATCTATCTATCTATCTCATTTCTTTTGATCTATCTATCTATCTTCTATCATTTCTTTTGATCTACTGTCTGTCTATCTATCTATCTATCCATCTATATCTATTATTTCTTTTGATCTATCTATCTATCTATCTATCTATCTATCTATCTATCTATATCATCTATCATTTCTTTTGATCTACTATCTGTCTATCTATCTATCTATCTATCTATCTATCTATCTACTGTATATCTCTTTCTTAACACAGATATTTCAGATAATGAAAGTGCATGTTGCTGTTCTAAGTAATGTTACCATTTATATAAAATTTATATTTAGGAAAAGTTTAGGCTAATGACT